GGAGACAGCGTCCACACTGGGGTGATATGTATTCTCGCCGACTGATGTGAGACACACCCGACGCTTGTAATTATTCAGGCCCCGACATTGCACAATTCCCGAAGCTTCCATGTTGCGCAGCCCTGGCTTCTGAAACCTTGAACCGTGAACTTCAAACCCCAAATGGGTAGTTCTCCAGATTTGCGTCCGTTTGTGGGTCCCCAAAATAGTACGGTGCCCTTGTAAAAAGAACCCTCAAAGGGACCCGCATTTAGAGAACGACCCAAATGCCGTGAGAAGCTACGATTAAGCGCCCTCTCCACGCGGCACACCCTCAGGCCTGCAAGTCGGCAAGCATGGACGTTGCGTGTGTGCATGCAGGCGGGATATTAGAGTTAGTATAGGGGCCTACAGTACATAGTTACTCATACTGCTTGGGGGGTGGTTCCTTGTTTGAAGTATAGTATACATAAAGACATAAAGCACCCCGAAGCCGAAACCGTATTCCAGTGAGTAAGGCCCCTATATATCCGGGGCTCATGGCATGATGATTACCCTTGACCACTTGGTATCATGATTCTCGTTCTTCCCCGCATTGCCACGACCACCAATCACAACCAAGTTCGGCAGTTTGGCATGAGTGCCCTTTGTACTAAATACAGTGGCGCGGTGGACACCTGATGTGGCATCCCCCAAACCCTAAACTCCTGACCTCCTAAACCCTATAAACCCTAAACTCCTAAACCCTACGTACGGAAAGCAGTGAGGGAGTGCAGTAGCTTTCATAGGTGAGCTAAAGCAGAGTGCCTCATCGAGGCGCTCCGATTTCCGGAAGACGGAAAGAGGTCCTCGAAAAAAAGCACTCTTCAACCCAAAGATGACACAGGCGTGCCCTTCCCAGAGCGCATTGATGGCCTGAAGAAGTTCGGTGCGGGTGAGGCGGGAGCAGCCGTGAGCAAAAGGCAATTCTAGGGTTTGGGAGTTTAGGGTTTATAGGAATTGCTCCGGGTTTGGGTGCCAATAGCGTTTTGACCGAAAGGTTTGAACAGGTTTTTGTTTTAACGACCTGGTTTGGGAATGGGTGGGCCGGGGGCTGGGCTCCGGCCTTGGGGTTGGGGTTGGGGCTGGGCCCGGGTGCCAATAAGTTTTGACCGAAACGTTTTGACGTTGACCGAAAGTTTCGACAATGTTTTGAGCATGTTTTTCTTTCAATAGCCTGGTTTTGGAATTGGTGGGTCGGGGGTGCTGGCCTCCGGCATTGGACGAGGCATGAAGGCTGCATGGAAGCTTTGTGTTGGCAGTTGGGCTGGGCTGGGCTGGGCTGGGCTGGGCTGGGCTGGGCTGGGCTGGGGGCTGGGCTGGGGCGCTGGCTGGGTGCTGGTGGGGCTGCGCTGGGCTGGATTGGGGTGGGCTGGGGTGCTGTGGGGTTTGGGCTGGGTGTCGCGGGCGGGTTTGGGTTGACTTCATTAAGCTTGAAACGGAAAATTGGATTATAGAAATTGGAAAGGTTGTGTCCCGACCCGAAATGGGTTTGGGGATGGCCGCCAACAGCAACAAGCATCTTCTATTCATTTCTGTCTTGAGGGATTAGGGTTTAGGGTTTAGGAGTTTAGGGTTTCGGGTTTCCCAAGCCTTTCTTGAGAAGCTCTTTGCGTATAATCACCAGATGTGGAACTTTCCCACTCAGGAGTTAAGAAATTCCCTTCTCTCCTCCGAACACACCAAGAACCAAAACTTCAGCCACCAATGAACACTAATTACAGAGTCACGCAGCCCCTAAACCTTGAAATTCCGCATAGTTGACAGGACTCGAAATCCTCTGACGTAAGCTCCAAGGCTCTGTTGCCGTACCCCCATCCGACCGGTTTCAATCACGGGTTCACTGAAAGAGCAGAATAAACATCGGAAAAGCAATTTTGGAATGGTTAGAGCCATTCGAGAGTCCTATGAACTAAACGAGCGCAGTCCCACAAGTCCTGTTTGCCGCTCTCTTGTTTGCGAGGTGAGCGTGCTGATCTGCACAGATCTTGGCGCGTTTCGGCCCTGGCTGATTGAACAACAGAGATAGTGCTTAGGGCTTTTAAGATTAAGCGGTTTGGGGCTGAGGGCCGGCGGTTGAGGGGCTGGGTGTTTAAGGTTCTCAGGTTAAGGGGGGTTTTGGGTGTATTCGATACCGGAGAGCGTAGCATGAGCCTCTCAAAAGCTTACATTCCCCCGCACCCTGGAACCGTCCAGCCCTAAAACCCTGAGTCCTCATCTAACCGAATCTAACCCTCAAAGCGCAGAAGATCAAGCACAACGAACCTAAACCCTGAACCCCAAACCCCCAAGACCTAAACCCCAAACCTCCAAACCTCAAAGCCCAAAATCAAACCTCCGGCCAGTGCAAAGGCGAGGACTGGACCTGCCGATCTGCCAGCATGTCGTGCAGCTGGAGCCAGGGTCTAGGGCAGCTGGGGGTCCTTGATGATTAACGTAGGGTGTTAGTGAAGGGTTTAGGGTTTAGGAGTTTGGGGTTTAGGGTTCTGTTATTGGGTTTTAGAAAAGGTCGATGAGGGCTTTATAGGGAGACTAAATCAGGGACCTTCATGGCTTCGCAAGGATTTGAAAGGTTTGCCAGGGGGTTGTATGGGGCATAATCTTGGGGGCTTAACAATTAGAATAGGGTTTTGGTGTATGGTATAGTAGGGTCTTGTGGCGACTACGAGGGTATACTATCACTGCCTAGGCATTTGGGTCTAAGAGGTTCGTGCAGTTAAGGCTATAGAAGGACTTTTGAGCTTATGACTTGGAATTCGTGAGACCTGTTGGAGTTTTGGTATGTTGTTCGGTGAAGCCTGAGCCGGTGAATGACGTTGGACTTGCGGAGCATGAGGGCTTGTGTTTGTGCGCGTGTGTGAGTGAGAGAGGCAGAGGTTTTGGGGCTCGTTTCTTGCGCGGCTTTCAAAGTTGGACGCATCCTTGTCTAAAGGAGCTCGAACAGGCAGTTAAACCCAGGATCGTAGGCAAAGCGGGAATACGGGGCCTGAATGTTATTCCTTAAGTCCTATTTCACTTCGCACTATATCCCGAAAGGTTAAGGACAGACGGTACACTGCGGGCTTCATGGCAGATTAATCACAGCATGGAAGCTATTGCGCACGGGCCTTTTGTTGAGAGTTCCCCGCGTGCAAAGCAAACTCGCTCTTCCTGGGATATGATACGCTAAGCTGAAGGCACTGGCAGCTCACTTTGCGCTCCCATTCATGTCATAAGCGGTTTTTGCAGGCCACTTAAGAAGAAAGTTTGACTTTCATTCCAAGATGTGCTCTTGTCACCGGCAATTCTTGCTAGCTAGATCATTGAACTCGTCACTGCTCGTTTCGACCGAGGTTTGCAAACAACACCATCTGCTACCTACACCGGGTGGGCCGCGTGTGGGTCCCGGAGCTGCTAAGTTCACGTCGCAGGTCCTGCGACTCCAGAAGGGACGTTGCCATAGATACCAAGACTCGCAGGTCCCAGAGTGAAGATTGAGCCTGGTACTGGTGCAGCGACAAGGCTAGGCATAGCGAAGTGTCAGTCACAAGGCATAGTGGACCAGTCATCAGAGCGGTAATCTACAACAAGTCAGCCCGTGCCTTCGTCCACCCTTTCAGCGGGCTGAGGCTACCCGTGCGGCTAACAAGTCACAGGCTCGTGCTTTGCATGCTAGGGTCTGGGTCAAGGGTTGCCAATCAGCTCATAGCAGCACAAGTGGGTAATCAGAGCTGTGACTGAGCATTGTGCATCCCTTCGTCTTGAAGCATGCTTGCTGTCTTGTCTTCTTGTTGCAAGAGGTTCGTCCTACAAAGGATTCCTGCAACTGGTTGTTCTTGTTGTCACCGAAGCATTTACAGATGGCCCCAAGAGGTTCGCAGTCTTTACGTTTGAATGTTAAGCGGAAAGCTACTGCAGGCAGGGATTGTGCACCTTTGATTCTGTGACAAGCACCCCCAATTTTGAGCTGTAGACCACTGCCTGCAGCTGCACGTGCGGGCCTGTGCGTGGGTAAAAATCCATAACCCCCTGTGAAGCAAACATTGCGCGCCTGCTTGCGCGCCAAAGTGGGTCATCCAGTAATTGTTGCAAGCTCTCTTGTTTTGCAAGACCCAAACGTTCAGTGCGTTTTGCCCAAGCATAGCTTGTGCATGGGTGAACGAAGTCTGATGGAAGCCAATCGAAGGCTTTTTTGGCTCCCGAGGAGCCCCAGTTTGATCGAAATGAAGCAATTCCTTCGGCCATGGCCGTCGCACTTGGCCATGATGTGGGCCACCTTTTCCATGGTTTCAGCCATGAAAGTTACGCAGGAATTCAACTCGGCGGATGCTGCGATGGCTGAGCATTCTGTGCACCTTTCACGTCAGAGAACGACCTCAAACGGGTCTGAGATGGCTGTGCAGAATGCTCTTGTGGCCCGCTCCTCTCGCTCGATGATGTCAGTGGGTGAGAACACCAATTTCTCAAGTGTTGGCCAGGAGCTTGATGCCGTGGTGTCAGGGAAATTCTTGGGAGACATTGCTGGGTTGGGCGCCGGCACGCTTGCATCAGCAGGCATGGCCATAGGCAGCGCGGTTGGCAATGCTGCCGTGGTTGTCGGGAACCATGTCGTAAAAACAGCAAAGACCAGCTTAAACAGCTTGCCTGAGACCATCAAGAGTGCCGCGAACCACATCGGGGAACATGCGGTGGGTGTGGCGGCAGGTGCCGTCGGCGCAGTGCCGATTGCAGGAGAGATGGTGGTAGACACAACCGTTGATCTTGCAGGAACGGCGCTTGCCCATGCCGAAGATTCCCTCCAGGGTTTGGGAAGGTTGGCTACAAGGTTGGCCGAGACAGCCTGGAACGAGATCAAGAAGATTGTCGACTGTCTGAAAGAAATGGTTTCCTTGTGTTCAATCTTGATCGGTGACCAGTGTGACTGCAACGGTGGCAGCCATGTCACAATCGCGACAGACCACTTCTCCGTGCGTTGTGTCTTCCAGACTACCTCCGAGTTTTCCAAAGGCTTCGGGATAAATGCAGTTCGACAGAACAAGATGGACGGCACGACCCTTGAGGGTAGCTTGACGATCTTGTAGTTTTCGTATCTTGTAATTATTGTTATATGCAACGGACGGTCAAAATCTCCAGTTTCAAACTCCGTTTGTTATGTGTAGAACATGCGCAAGAACTTACTCTGGCAGGGATTGCGGGAACAGCTGAGGTCTTCACGTATTGCCTGGGGATGAGTTCGTGGAAGCTTATAAGAGCTTCGGCAATCGCAGTGCGCTCTGTTTCTTTCGTAATGGCTCACCGTTGACAGTTTAGGGTTTATAATATAGACGGCCGCATTTTTGTATTTCGTCGCCCACATTTTGAATCTCGGTATCCCCCAAGGACGGCAGGCCAGGTGTTGAAGAGCCAGGACGCACTGAAGGACGAGACGACGTCAGGAACCTCGAGTGCCTTGCCTCGTTGACTCATGTTTTGGGGCTGGAGACCGTGCACCGAAGGACGATCCCGGAGAATTTAAGCACCTGCCCAATCTCGCCTTGTACTGTCATGCTCTTAGATTTCACTAGCAAGCAAGGCTCGTGTGAGACGGCTTTGGATGTGCCTCCGATTGCAAGAGAAGGAGCTGTTATTGCATACCTTTCATGTTTCATGATTGCTTCATTGCTGGAGTGGGTGCCATTTCCTACCCGAGGTTGCTATCGATGGCATTGTCCAGTTCTCACCAGATGTGACTTTTACCGTTTATGACAGCGGAGACTGGGCGGAGCTTAAGTGTGTCGTTTGGAGGACACCTGCTGCCTGAGTTTAAAGCACTGGTGCCCCCTCGTTTTGAGAAGCAACGCTATTGCGTGAGCCCAGGAACGACCGTGTTCTCAATCAGTGGGATGGTGCGCACATCCGTTCAAGCTCTTGTCGAGGCGCAAGGCAGCTGCTCCTTCAAGGCCCGAAAGGGAAAAGGCAAAATGCTGCTCCGTTGCCGTCTGCGACGTTGATGTTGCTGGTGGTGGTGCTGCTACTGCCGCTGCTGCTCCTCCTGCTGCTGCCGTTGCTGCCTCTGTTCCTGCTGCTGCTGCTGCTGCTGCTGCTGCTGCCACTCTTGCTGATGCTTGAGTTTCTGGTTTCTGGGGTTGGTGGTGGTGGTGGTGGCCTTGTAGTCGTATCATCATGCCGTGCAGTATCACCCGAGCGCCTGCACTGTCGCTACTGACATGTGAGTCACGGTCAAAACCCCGTCACTGTAGGCTGTATTTGGGAATCACCCACGGTTTCCAACAGTCTTGGATTTTGAGGGCGGCCGCAGCTACTTGCATAGGTTGAACGGAATCAGAGGAAGCGTTTGTGTGGACCTGGGCGATTAGGGATACCCCACCCCATACCCTCCAACGGTCGTGCGTAACTCGACAATAGCTGTTGTCAGCAGCAATCAATGTCGAGAGATGCTGCGCTGTGCTTCGCTTGTGTTGGCAAGCGTGCCAATCGCCAGAGCGGTATGTGGTCCGGAGAGCTAGCACGCTGAACTAGGGCTTAGGGCACGTAGTACACAGGACTCGAGTTTGTCAGCCCAAAATGAGGTTATGGACGGATGTAGTTGTGTGGCCCACCGATACCCTACCGATACCTACAGATACCCAGGCTGCGCATGTTGAAGCGCGGGCCCTGTAGCCGCTCAATCCGTACACTTAGATTGGCAATATGCATATGTATGTATGTGTGCATGCGTGTTGTGTATGTTTGTATGTGTGTATTTATGTATGTAGGAAAGTAACTATGTTTATGTGTATGTGTACATAATTTACATATCAAAAATGTATGTGTAATATATATATATATATGTGTGTGTGTGTGTACATGAACATGTATATATGTATCAGCTTATGTATATGCGGTCCTCAAGTTTATTCGGGGGCCGCAAGTACACGCACCGATTGAGTTTTAGGATAATGGCGCCAAAACGGGGTTTTGACAACGACTCATGTGCATCCAGATGCCCAGGCCATGAGAGGATTTCCGGATCCTCCCAAGAAGAAGGTCATTTGTGGGGGCAAGTTTTGCATCGTAATCATGCTTCAGATGGTTGCAGAGCTGAACTTGGAGGGTACACTGACGGGAACACTCGAAGTGAGCACCGAAGCGGACTTCGAAATCGCGGGCACGGTGCGTGTTACGTCGAGCTTTGGACTCGAGAGGAAACGGGGGGATGTACGCGGCAGCCTCAATCTGACCCTGAAGCATTCTCAGGAATGGTCACGCAGATGTGGACATGAATACGCCAGGGATCGCGCACAAGCAAGGCTTCGCGATCGGAGCCAGTGCTACGGCATCCGCGAGGGTGAGCCTTGGGATCATTGAGGCAGCGACTAAGGCTTGAGTTTGAGCGTTCGAACATATAGAACAAAAGAAACAGGCACGATGATGTGGCTGCTAGAGTCAGCTCCTTTAGCAGTTTACGGTTGGTAAGAGTTTGCTGCTTCGAAGTGCAACTGCATCAGCATCAAGCAAGGAGTATGGGACCGGTTCTCACGATCTGGCCAGTGCCAGGTATTCCTATCACTGTCAGGCTCGTCTACCCTAAATGCCGCGCCCACACCCCTAGACTTAAGGCCTTGCAGTTATTAAGAAAAGCCGAAGACAAAATAAAAGTCTTAAGTGATCTTCAGGCCTATGGTGCATGCTGAGGCCAAAGCCCAAGGCACGCTGAAGCCAGAGCTTGTTCCAGAAGAGTTTCCGTTGATTTTGATGCTAGCATCAGAGACTTGTTTATTGTTTGAAAATTTGGACGCGATGGTTTTTTCCGTTCCGAGACGCTTCAGCACAAGTCCGAGGAACTACGAGTCAGCGGGCCATGGCCTTCTCTTCGTCGAGGAGTCTGATCAAGTTTCCGCCGCGGACGCGTCTAACTCGAGTTTGAACATGACATCGAATACGCTGCAGATGTGCGGGGCAGCCGCCCTCAACATCTATGCCGACGTTGACGTCACGGGCTTCGCGCTACCAGCTATTTTCAGATCTCACTTCGACAGCGACGTCCTCGTGGAAGAGCTCACTAGAGCCGTCACGGCCAGTGCTGATGCCTTGGTCCGAACCATAGTGGGGCCACTCCAGTGCATGCCGGGTGCCAACACAGTTGCAGCGGTAGTTGAACGGATCAGGGCCGCGGCTCGAGCGGCAGCAGACCACATCAGCGCACTCATCCCGACCATTGACTTTGACTTGGGCCTACCATCGATCCAGCTGCTCTCCCCCAAGAAGCTCTTCTGCAAGGAGGTCTACACGACTCCCGACGACTTCGAGTCTGCACCCTGCGCAGCAGAGCTTGGGTGCAAGCACGCCGGCCGTAGGCCTCCACCTGGGGAAGAGCTCCCGGAACCCGAACAAGTGACAAGTCGCGACACGAGGACTCTCGGAGCGGTTTGGTGAAGGTGTTGTCCATGGTCACGCTGAAGGGATCACCTCATCTTCGTTCCTTTTCTTTCCCAGTCCTTGTGCCTTTAAATTCTCTGGTTCTGAGGGCCTCTGGGACCGGCACATGCCCGGCACTCGTCATGGGAGATCGGTTCATTCAACTTGGGAACACGTGGCGATTGTGCGACATTGATGGCGTCCACTTCGTTCTGCAGCACAATAACCCCCGTACCTTGGATGAGATCTTAGCATCCATCTTCAGACCCACAGTCTCTGGGGGTTTTCTAGATAAAACGCTCAAAGCAGCATGAAGGCCTCGCCCATTAGAGGCACGAACCCACCCTCCCCAACCAAGGCGAGGTCCCGATTGTGTGGCGGAACGATGGGAGAACTTTCTGGCGGCCCTGGGAACTGAACTCCCATTGGAGTCAGAAGGCTTGGGCTGAGTGCTGGAGCAGGGCATCCGGGCCCTCCAAAGGGATCTCGCCCCTGGGACCGGGTTAGGGTGTAAGTTTAGGGGTTCATGTTGTTGGGGTTCACGCTGTCTGTATGCCAGGGTGCTGCGATGTCAAGGTTCAGGGTGTTAGGCTTTGTAGTTGAGATCTCAGATGCCTCCTGTGCAAAGGCTTGAAGGCGATGTTTAAACAGTCAGGTTCGGCTTCCAGTTCATCCAGATCGGGGAGTTCCGTATTGGTGCCAACGATGATGATCACTTCAGCGTGGGTCACAGCAGTCACACATGCCCCCAGACTTGGCGGGGCCACGACACCTCAGTGCACCATGGGACCGGGTGGGACATCTTCGACCGTGGTGAAGGGTTTCCGACAGGCGTCACCTTCGGAGATAGGTTCGTACAGGTGGGCAAAATGCGATTCGGTGCATCTGACGACAACCACTTCACTTTCTTCTTCACCCCCACTGGCCGGAGCATGGAGATTTTCCGAGGCCACGACGGGACTCGGCACGCAGGCAACAGCTACTGGAATCATCATAATCATATGGTCCACAGATTGCCCGCCCACTGGACCTGCCCCGACTTCGCCGAGAAGGCGTATGGAAAATGCAATCCAGAGTTCGGACATTGGGGCGATCGCTTTATTCAAATCGGAAAGTGGCGCCTGGCAGCCATAGACGCGAACAACCTCAGCATCTCTCACAAGGACGGGAAGACGGCCCAAGTCTACCGTAACGATGGCCATATCCTTTCCGGTCCGCGCACCGATTACAGTGCCTGGGACAGACCCATCGGGCTCCTTGCCGTTGAGACTTGAAGCTTTCTCGTTCCTTTGGTTGTGCCGCTTAGTATCGTAGGAGGTCCAATAGTTCCCGTGTGCAGTCAGTGGAAAAGAAGGTTTCCTCACGGCATCGCCTTCGGGCCAAGCTTCATCCAGATCGGCAACTTCCGCATCGCAGCTATGGACCACAACCACATGAGCATCACTCACATATCAGGGCCGACAGCTCAGGTCTTCAGGGGGCATCTGGGCCTCTCTTGATTCCTTTTTTGTGCTTTCAGGCTACTGACAGTAGAGGCCCCTTATGCCCTGATGTTCGAACACTTCGTCTTTCCTTTACAAGAGCTGCAAACCCAAGCAAGTCCAAGAGCCACAACAGTATTGTATTCTCCAGACCGCACACTACAGCTGTGAGTACACCTGGAGACTTTTGCAGTTGCCCCCTAGGCATGATGGCTCCCTGCATCCCAACGTGCCGCACGCCTGGAATGCATGGAGCTTGCGAGCCGGGCCAGCAACAGGAGTGACGTTCCTCGGCTTGTGCTGAGAAGCGGTTTCTGAAGGCCCAATAAACACTAAAGGACTTTGGAATCCTAAGTTTCTGTTCTGATGGTACCTGTAGTCACACAATCCGAAGTCCGCCGTTTCTTGTAAAGATGGCACTATCAGCGTTGAACAGGTTCGGGGACAGGTTCATACAGCTTGGGGAGTTTCGAATCGGTGCAGCTGGACGGCAGATCAGACTCTCATCTCTCTTCTTGACTCTCTCTCTCTCTCTCTCCTTCTCTCCCTTCTTCTTTCTCTTTCTCCTTCTCCTTGGTGGTTTAAGCCGGGGCCAGTCCACCGCGGTCACAGCCCAGGAAGGTGGCTCCCTATACGTGACCCACACAGGCTACAACAAAAGCCCTCAGATTTTCAGAGCGGACGGCCAGCTGGTCTCTGGGACACAGCATCACTACGCCCATATTGTCATTGGATCGTCGTGGAAAGCGTTCGTTTTTTTTCTCATCTTCTTGTTTCTAACGGTGTAGCAGCTGAAGTAGTCTCTAGACCCCTGAACCCAAACTCACCAACTGCCTAGACCCTGTTGCCTAGGTCAACGATCGGCATGCTATGTGGCATTGTGGTGGCATCCAGGGAATTATGGGGACATGCCCGGGGATAACAGTAGGTGGCCCGGCTGGCAAAAAGATGCCCACCCCTAAAATAAAACTTACCTGGGAACAAGAAAATAATACTAATAACAATAATAATACTAACAATAATGATGATAATAACAATAATCATACTTACAATAATAATACTAACAATAATGATAATAATAACAATAATCATACTAACTTGGGCAGGTGACGGCTTCCTGCAAATTAGCGACTGGCGACTCGCGGGAAGGGATGAGCGCCACTTCTCATTCTCCCACCGCAGCATCCACACTCCCCTGCTCTGCACTTCCGACAGTCTCGCCCACTCTGGCCCGCGAAGGGACTGGCACAGCTGGCACCTTGAGGCGAACAATGCCAACACCGTAAAGTTCGGAGATCGCTTTATCCAATTTGGCCACTGGTGGCGCTTGGGTGAATGGGAGCTTAACGGGCGGCACTTTGTCCTCATCCACCGGAACTACAAAGTTCCGATCGTTTGGCGTGGCTTGCTGAGCAGTTGCAGTGCTCACTCCGATGGATCACTTGTCGCACACAGTAGAACAGTCTTAAACAGCATGTCTCGCCGGCTTCTTGACTTCAGGCGACGACGGCACAGTTCACAACGGACCCGTTCCTACCTGGGAGCCAACCAGTAGCAGGGTGGCCAGCGAATTGAATTTGTTCCGACGAGCCATTGGTGCACCAAGTGGCATCGCCTTCGGACATGGCTTCGTGCAGATTGGCAAGTGGCGAGCCGCTCGGTCTCCACTATTGGCATTATGTTTTTTGGGCCGTTGTTGTGACGGAAATAGGCAACTTCTGCTTTCGCTTCTTAAACTGAAACGCATCCCAGATTGGAGATGTGGACAGCCACCACTTCTCCATCACTGTGAGCGGCCAAACCGCAGAGGTCTTTACGGCCGATGCAAGGCGACACTCTGGCCCGCGGACAGATTGGACGACTTTCGGTCGTCCCATCTCGGACTGTCAGGTCGTGCCGAGCGATTTCTATTGATCTTGTTCAGTCGAATGACTGAAAAGAACAAAATTCTGCCTGCGGCGCGGGTAATACAAAAAATTAGGACGCCTAGGAATCTAATGTATCTCTACCTCGTATACCAGAAATTATAAGGACCCAATCCCATCAAAATAAAGATATATTTATCTCTGATATCGCGTTTGCGAGATGTTTTGGAGATATACGTAGATTCTCAGCCGTTTCTGTCCTAGGAATGCCAAGCATGATGATGATGATGATGACGATGATGATGATGATGACGGTGATGGTGATGGTGACCACCACCATCAAATGTCGGAGCAGCACGGAGAAAGTGAAGGCTTCTCGATGTGCACGCCTTCTTTCAACCATACTTGCAGTTCGATTGTGTGTGCGCGTCGTCCCTACGATCTTCCGCCGTCACAAGCGGCGAAGCCGTATAGGATGGTCAACTATCTCAAGTTTTGGCACAGCAAGCCTCGATCCCGACAAATTTCTGCACGTCACTGCAGGTGACGAACCTTTGGGGCGATCCGGACATCGCCATCAAGGATCTCGTGATGAAGGCATGGATAAAGTGGCAAAGGTGGCCTCAACAGTCTTCCGCCGGCAGTTCAAATCGAACCTAGCTGTTTTTGTCCGCCTTTCCGCGTCGGCCGCGGCCAACATACTGTTTGCCATCCGCCAGCTTTCGGCGGCAAGCACCCCTGTTGGAGGCTCCTCAGATGGGTCTCGAGGGCGAGGTTGTGAGTCTCCGTGGCAACAGATGTGCTGGACTCAGCTCCTCTGGCCAGTGGGGCCGGACTACTGGGTCATGTCTTTGACGCGGATTTCGTCCCCAAGAAAATTTTACTTTAGAGTGCAACCAAAAGGTGAAGAGGGTTTGCTCTCTTTGACATTGCATGTTGTTTCGGGTGTGATTTTGCACTTTGGCATCTTTCCTAGAGCCTGCTATGCCTTGTTTAATCATACTACAATGTAAGTATACCATAACTACACTGTACTCTGGTATATACTATATACTGAGCTATACCATAGTATACCGTATACCATATCGTACCAACATATACGAGCCCTACCTGTACATAGCATATACGATAACATACCTTATACCCCGTTTTTACAGGTGTGTTGCCTGTAGGTCGCCATCGCCGCGTGCGACGGCGGCAGAAGCGCAACGAGTTTGTCGCGGGCTCGGAGTGAATAATATACCAGATGATACGAAATTTTACAAGAATCCGCGACGAAATGTACTATGATATAGTCGAACATCCTAGAATGTACTAGAGTTTGCTAACAGCATTGCTTCCCGTGCAATGCGAGAGTGATTTGTCGCAACGGCAGCACATAAATCTTGACCGTGCTAGCAAATCTAGCCACAGCTTGAGTCTGTTGGAACACAGTCTTTCCGCAGCAGCGCCCGAAGTCTGGAATCATAAGCCCTAAACCTCTTTAAAGCATGAGAGTCTCGCTGCCATTGCATGTGACCTGGTAGCAACGCGGCTTGAGCTAGACAACTCACAGAGCCGTAATCCCAAGCCTCAGTTTGCTTTCCCACCCCCCAGGCGGCCCAGCGTGCATTAGCACCTGCCGGCCTGCTGCAGCTTTCACGGTGTAGACACCGTAAATCCATACCCCTTGAGGAAAGGACGGGAAGCCCTGAACTTAAGTCGAAACAGCCCTACATGGACTCCAACTTCAAATCAACCCGAAGTCCCAACGCCTTCAATCCCAAATCCCTCCACTCTGAAACTCGAGACGTTTGATGTGTCTCAGATCTTCTCGCAGACGCGCGAGAAGGCGCAGCAGGCCACATCTTGGGCATCGGGGCTTGGAGCGTGGCATGGCAGGTTTTTGGGAGTTTCCGCTCGTGGGGGGGTTTAAAGATCTAGGTCTTGGGGTTTCAGGTCTCTACGGGTTCAATATTCCAGGGTTGAGCTTTCAAGGTTCAGCATCGCTTGCAGGGTTGTGGCTTTCTACGGCTTGGTGTCTAAAGGTCTAGGATGTCGGTTGTGTTAACATGGTCATGTCTTGGCTCGAATTTAGGGGTCTGTCTAACTTGAGAGATTTGGGAGAGTCCGGTCTTCGGAGTGTTGGCTTCGGCTTAGGGTTGAGGGGTTTAGTGGGTCAGGGTTTACGGTTTAGGAGTTTAGGGTTTAGGAGTTTAGGAGTTTAGGGTTTAGGAGTTTAGGGTTTAGGGTTTCTTGGCTTCGGCTTAGGATCCCTCTTCCGAAAGCTTGTTGCTCCGACTCGGCCCAACACTCGCCAAGTGAATGCAGCCAACGCTTCTGTGGATTCAGGGGTTTAGGGCTTAGCCCTAAACCCTAAACCCTAGGGGCTTAGGGCTGAGGGCCGAGACCACCGCGCTGTGCGTCTCCGTTGTCGGATGCCATGGGCCCCGAACTCTCAGCCTTGGGGGCCCTGCTGTTGGGTTTCGAAGAGCCAAACTCCTAAAGCAAACATGTCGACCGCCGAAGCCGCAAACTCTGAGAATTTTTCGGGGGAACTCCCTAAACCCTAAACCCTACCATTGGCGTGCCTTCTTACTTGCAGGCACGCAAGCGGACGCAGCTCTCGGGAGCAGCGGCTTGGCCTATGCGCTCTGCGACGGGCAGATTTTCGATGTAAGCTTTAGGAATTGCGGCCAGGAGTTTCGGGCTTAATGACTGGATGTAGTGGTTCTGTTGGGACCTGCAGCCGATACCTACCTGAGCAAGGGTAGTTCGCGCTATGGCAATTGGGTTCTCTGGAAGCTGGCTTGGGGTTTTGGGGTTCCTCGTTTCGTCGCTTTCGAAGCCGAGATTCAAGGTCCAACGACCTTGGAGCAGTGATCCCTAAAGCTTGAATCACAATTACACCATCTCTTAATCTCCTGGTTAGTATGACCATATTACCTCCGTGGTGATAAACAAAGACGGAGATGATCTGAATATCAGCATGATCAGCAGCTGTCCCCGCTATTGGTACTGATTTGCACTGCGACCGCTGTTGCTGTTAACTACTCGTTCCTGACTGGGAGTAGACTTCTGGTTTATCATAGCTCTCCCCTCAACCCCTAAACCCATAAACCCATAAACCCTAAACCCCTAAACCCTAAACCCATAAACTCCTTGAGCCCAAGGATTGGACGGCACGGCGCGACGTTGTTGAGAATGTTGCGAAGGGATGAGCTGAACTGCCTGAGCTTTTGGAGGATTCTTTTGGAATGTAGAAGTCTAGTTAGAAGAAGATCATTCCTGGGACTCCTTGATATGAGTACAGTATATCATGCCGGAAACCCTATTCTAATTCTTAAGATCCGTATTTTATGGAATTTGTGGGTGGACAGCTCTCTCGGAATCAAACGTCCGTTACGACAAAAAACATGAAGCAATTGATTCTTGGAAATGCTTTGATCACATAATTTTTGGATCATTGAACCACTATTCTTAATTCACGAATTCATTGATGAGATTTCTTTCACTTTACCAACATACACAAACCAAGCAGAAATTAAACCTACTACATATCGATCCTCTAAGTTATATTTATATGAAACATAGATCAAGTTTGGAAAGTACTAAGTTTAGTGCATTAAATGGTTCTATTTCTATTCGGATAAATATACATACATATATATTTATTTATTTAAAATAGAAATATATTATTGGAATATGGGCAAAATTCGCTGATTATTAAAATTCCAAGGCGAAAAATATTTATCTATTTATTTTTATGGTTATATTGATTTTAGCAAATCTATCTTTTTTGTAAATTTAATTAAATATAGTCGGAGTAAATAGTACAATATATGCTTATGAAATATTTAATTTCGAAATTGGTATTAAGGCTGATAAAAATGGATAAAGAATTTTCTGTGATAATGAAATATATAGAAATATAGATAGAAATAAACCCAAAAAAAATTGGTTTTAAGAATTGAATGAATTTATGGAAAAAGAACTGGTGGGAATAATTATTTTTGGAAGTATTCGAAATAATTCTGAATAAGGGACGGATTAGAAAATAAATGAGGTTCGATTTCGAGAGATTCGTTTTTATTGGACAAATTCCCGCCCGTAAAATTTTTTTATGAAATCTTTATTCGTGACAAATATTAGAAAGATATTAATATTTTACGAGGTTTTATGAATTTATTAGCAAATGTCTAGATATTATACGTATAAGGTTATAAGATTATTAAGACCTCAACTCTTTGAGTTATTTCAGAAATTTTGAATCGTGAGCTAGTAATTAAGCAATCTTATTCTTAAGATATAATTATTATCCCAGCCCCCTCAACCGCAAAGCCTGAGATGTTAATTATACGACTTTTGATATAATATACTTAATAAGATATTTAAAACTTCTTGTTTAATTGTATCGTATTCTGCCCCTTATCTACTATCTAATTGATCGTATAGTATACGGCAAATTTCGTTTTGTTCTTGATGCTATAACTGCACTTCTCGGGGCGAAATTATCTTAATCTTCTTAATAATTTGTTGGTGACTATCTTTATGAATTATTCATTTTCAAGTCTTCGTCACTCACGGTTATCCTAATTAGCAAATCCTTATCACCGCAATACACTGATTTATTTGGGCGACGTACTGAAATATATTAATTATCGATAGATCGCAATCCTGGCGTATTTTCTCAAATAAGTGCCTCCTTCTCTAATTCTACGGAAATAAATCTATTTGGATCTATTTTCATTCTCATTTCTATCTTATTTCATGATATATCATTCTTAATATCTAATATAGCGAGAATATGACCTATACCTTTATAGATTTGCTTATCTTCTTTTCTTTAATCTAATTCGAATAATATCAAAAATTTATTTTATTTTTCTTCGGTAATATCTATCGTCTCTGCTTATTTTTCTTAATCTTCTCTCTATCTCTCTATCTCTCTCTATATATATCTATAGATTCTTTATATTTTAGAATATCTATGGGCGCTTATATATATTTATAAATATTTTTCATATCTCTATCTAAATATATATATATGGGTCTACAAGAGAAATAATA